TTGATTCAGCGCCATCCTCTATGCTGAAGTTATGGCCAATAAGCCATTTTCCAAAGGTAAACCCCTTAGTCCCAGGCCTTAAACTACGTGAGTTAGTCCAACAAAGTCACAACTCAGTTACGTACCTAAGGTTACTGTATAGAAGGTATAGAAATCCGATCTTCCAGCGTAATCACCAGATTTAGTTACAAGCACTTCCTTGACAGCCTCAGAACTTGAAGCCATAATCAAATTGTAGCTTCCAATTTTCAGAGAGAAAATATCCCCGTAGAATTTCTTAAGACTGCAGAGTGAAGCATAATAGAGTCAAATTGGGCGCAAAATGAATTCTACTACTGCCAGTGCCTCTTATCCTACCGTAAATGTTGCCGTTACTACATGTACTACCATTACCATGAAAGCGGTCATGATTATGATCATAATAATTATAATGACTGACTGATGATGATGATGATGATGATGATGATGATGATGATGGACTACAGATCATGGCATGGCTGCCCATCCGGAAAAGACAAAATGTATGATAATTGGTACTCGACAAAAGCTTTCCCGCTTCGAAGAATGTGCCCTTTCGCTGTATTTGGATGGTAGGCAGTTGGAGCAAACTCAAGAGAAACGTCTCTTGGGAGTAGATATCGACCCCTCCCTATCTTGGTCATCCCACGTAGCTAATCTCAGGAAGAAACTCTTAAAGCGTGTTGCTGTTCTGGCTCGCATTAAAAAGTCCTACCAGTCATCATTTTAGTTAATGCTAGTATTAAACCTGTTCTTGAGTACTGTGTGTCCGTCTGGGGAAGTATTAAAAAAAAATCATGGATGGATGTGCACCTAGTTACCTCTCTGAGAAACTGTTATCTTTGAAATATTGCAAGTCACATTGCATAAGGTCTCGGTTGCCTTATCACCTTCCTATTCCACGTAACAAAAGCATGATACGAATGTTCTTGCAGTTAAGGTAGCTGCACACAATTTTGGCAGTTTGTGAGTATACAGTACGTCATTTGCCAAATCATGGCAAGAGAAAGGTTGAAGCTCACAAGCTGAAACTTGGCAAGTGAAAAATAGACTGATGAAAATTTTGAATGACAGATAAAATTTTACGTTTTCGTAGTTTCCATGGCAACACGAACGATTGAATACCACCTTAAAATTTTACTTTTGCTCTGCTTACATAAAATTCGCTCATTAGATTTCCCTATAAACTTGCAGACAGCTTACTATAATTAATCATTACAATTTGAAACTTATTTGACCTAATTCTTACAGACGGGTTTTTAGATAATCAGTAATATAATTGTACTGTAATTATTAAATGTGTCACAAAAATTCGTCTGTTCAACAACTTCCATTTTAAAGTGCTCATTATTTAAAATACGATAAAAGTAAAAATTCTTCCAAATATCACAAAATTTTAATGGGAAGATTTTGACAAATTGTCTTCTATGTACCACTGCTTTTTCGCAATCTTTGTTGGTCTAATTTGAAACACGCGACGTCATGCGAGTTACCGCTGACCGCCCGCAAAACTGTGTCCAGCCACCTTACACTGTGGACTAATGTCAGTGACAATGATTTAGTCCGCTCTTCGATCTGATGTAAAGACGTTCAAAATAAATTACTCTGATTCAGCTATGTGTAAATTCACGCCTAACAGCTTTAAAATTGACAGCATTTTTTTAGCTTTTTAAATGACTTATATGTTAATAATTATTATCTTTAAATACTTTAGCATTTTAATCATGTGTAATTTTGGGTAAATTCTCTCCTGAGAGCTGTAGAATGGACAGAACGTTCTATTTTCTGTGTAGCTTGCTAGTTAAGTTGTTTGTTACCTTAGTATTTTAGTATTTGAGGATTTTAGTATTTTGGAATGTTAGTAGTTTCATAGTGCCATAAGCCGGAACAATACAGTAGAACTGTAATTATGCACCCTATTGAAATAAAGTGTCATTCATTCATTCATGATCGGCTGATTATGTCCACAACGATGCTGATGAAAATGGTGATGGTAATGGTGATACTGATGACGATATTGATGATGGCGATGATGATGATGATTTTGACGATGATGATGATAGGGTAATTTTGTTCGCAACGATGATGGTGATAATGATGATGATGATGATAGTAACAGTGACAGGATAACGTTTTCGCTATGTCGAAAATCCTCCGTAAGTCGTTATGACGGTATGGCCAGCGACTTAAAAGTTTAAGATAACATGAAATTTAGGAGTGACAAATTCACCCTAGGGCAGAACTTTAATGACAGATACCCCAGCTTCGGAACACACTCGAATAGGAGTAGAATAGCTATTCGAGGAAAACCTCGAATAGCAAAACTCGCCCTTCGGAAAGGAAGAAAGCCTCGAATAGCAAAACTCGCCCTTCGGACTGTGAGTTGCATTGGAAAGGTCAATCATCAAAGGTAAGAGATTGATATATTTGGAAT